GCTAATTTAAGAGTTATTGACTTTTTGACTTGACTTTTCAGTAAGATTTTGGTTAACAATTGCTCAAGTTGTGCAGCCTGGTGCTCTGATGTGTCATGTTCACCATGGGTTTCGGTCGCTGAGGCCCTTGTTAGAGAAATCAAAATACGAGTTGTTTCCTTCTGGTGATGTGGGAAGCAATGCGCTCTGTTTTTGTGGTTGGTGTTGAGAGCTAAGTACTAGCCCAGAAACAGTATTTTGATAGTTAAAATTGCTAAACCGCATCGGTCCACCCCGCGAAAGCTCGCCAAGTCTAGCCCACAGCGAGGGCTAGACTTGGCGAGACTAGACCAAAAACCTCCGCGAACTCTTTCCGGGTTTTAATGAGGCGGGTTGGTGGGCCATTAAGTTACGTCTCCAGTCAATACACATGACGCATTGTAAAGATGACGTCAGTCGGAATTCTTGCCAAGTCGGCATTACAGTTCACGTGTTGGCAATCGTGGTACGCTTTTTGTTTCTTTTATACATACAATCCATTTTGACGCCAGATGGTGTTAGATCTGATTTTAGGCCTACATCAATAACACCGTACCACCAGTCTTAGTTAAGTTTCCTGGCTCAGGGTCGCGCCGTGTCAAGACACTGTAGAACAGGAAAGTGTCGACTGACATGGATTTCCCCCATACCTGTTGGCACAGACATGCTGCCATTGGTGATTGTCCATTTTTTAACTTGTCTTGCATATGGGTATATGTATGCAAGCGACACCGATCTTTCAAAGGTCAAGCAAGGTCATGGCCTTGACTGGTTAGTGCCTGTCTGCAGCATGTGAGCTGCCCTGCTATCACCTGTGATTGCAGTTCGAGTGCACTTATTTATCGATTCCGTGATCCTGTTTCGCCGGTTGGTTGGTTTTTCACATATTTTCGCATGAAAAGTCAGCGTATTCAACTTAAGCTGATCAAATGATTGTTGCAAAATATCTCATCTTATAGCAAAACAATCCATTTGTGATCCCAGCGACGTAGCTTCGCCTCAGAGTTCCCCATTTGACCAGAAGAGAAGTGCAGTTGGACAGTTTTGACGACGGTCCTTCCATCGGTCCCATTACCCCAAGCTGTTTAGTAGGGCGGCTAGCGCGTGGTGGTGGCGACAGTGATTCCATCGGTCCCCATTACCCGACGCTGTTTAGTAGGGCGGCTAACGGTAGTTGCAACCATATACCATGCACTTCATCGGCTTTTCGGCTGCGGTGGTGCTTTGGTGACGGACCCATGGGAGGTTATTTAGTCGATCCAGACCAAGAACTTGGACATTTGCAGATCTAGAAGAGGGCGAGGCATTTCTCCCCATGGAATAAGTTGTTATATGTGCAGAAATTATACCGGTAAGAATAGGTTACCTTAATTCTGATATCGTCTGTTTTGGGTCTTCTTCCAGGTCATTATCATGACCTGGATGGTCACTTTTTGTTAAGATGTGATAACGTATAGATAGGTCAATACGCACCAATCTATTGGCCTAGCAACGAAAATTGGATATTTCTAGAGAACTTAGGCAAAGAGAAAACCCCTGGTCTTTGTTATGTTAATATTAATCTGTCTTAAATCAAAGCCAACAGAGGGTTCTACGGTTACGCCGGCTCGGGTGAGTCGGGGGCAGGCCGCCGTGCTAACTCTCGCCGCAGTGCTGGCTCCAGCGGGACCAGCCGCTACGCTGGCTCTAGCGGGGCCGGCCGCTGTGCTGGCCCTGGCGGCGCCGTGCTGGCTTCGGCAAGGCTGGCACCTGTACTGGTCCTGATGCAGTTCGCCGTTACGCTATGACTCTGGGGGGTCTGGTCGTGAGATGATGGCTCCCACGAGAACGGATTTTTGCTGCCCGTTTTGTTATGTGTGGATTGGATCTGGTTGGGCCTAATCTGGTGCTACCTCGCATATGATCCTGATCTGGTGGATGCCCCAAACATTTGTCTACCTGACTGGAATACAAACCACGTCTTGTAACATAAATACGAGGAAAGACATTCGTTAGCTCACATTACAGTGGTCCTGCATGCATCAGGCAATGGACGCTGCTTGATGGCTGTGAAAAGGTGTTTATGTATTCCTCTCGCTACTTATATTTCCTGTTAACACGCGCCTGGGTGGCCGGTTGAATACCCTTCGCTCGTTCGTGGGGAGTGGGGGAAATTGGACCCGCTGAGGTATAAAGACTAAGGTAGCTAGATACACCAAACTCACGGAGTGCGTTGGCCTGTATATGATCTCACTTGTCGAACTTTGAGGTTCCTAGATCGTAATCTTTGGGTCAAGTAAGGTAAAACAAAGTCAAACCTTAGACTGGTCTTCAAAGTGTTCCAGACCTCCCCACGCAACCCCCTTGGACCGAGATACCTGTTTTTAAAGCAAAGGTTTAATGGTGTCCATTTAAAGCCAGGGATCTTTTTCCTAGAAAAAGCCGAGATGACCAATTACTACGAAATTGCTGTTATTTTCCCATTCACGTCAGCGTCAGGGGTTACACTAGACGATATGTTTCCTAAAAACAAATTCCGGGTCGTATCATTTCAGGTCAGTGACCTTATATGACCATTGAACATGTCCGTTGCGGTCCTTGACATTAATTAATTTGAAATGGGCACCAAAAAGCATCCCTACAAGCAAGCTCTCGAGTGAAAAAGCTGGTTTCTTTTGACCTCTGTCTGACCTTTATACCTGACCCTTAGTCCACGGATTTTAAATTCAGTTGGCGTGTTGTCTCAGAAACTATATCGGAGATGTATGACTTCGTCTATCATTCCTTATTCGCATCAGATTGAACGATTCCCTTTGAATTGACCTTCGCTGACAGCTAAGACCTTTTTTGACTTACCAGAGCTCAGCAATCTTATGCGGCACACCTAATTTTTTCATATGAAAAGATCCGCTATTCGCTTTCCCACAGTTACGCAGAGTTTGGCGCGGCTGTGCTGCATCGTTCGGAAATAATTCTGGAAAACCGCCGGGGGTCCAACTGACCTCACCCGAGCGCGCAATGATATACCTATGCGATTCCTTATTTGTTGTTGGGCATATGACACGCACCTTCTTTGCAGCCTATTGTAACGTTCTATTTCATTTTTGTTTCACTGTTTGGTATGCTTCGGCTATTTCGCGTCCAGGTTTTGGATTGATTGTTCTAGTACACGCAAGCGTTTCATGCTCCTTAGAAGACCATCTGCCCTTCGTCCCCCACTCACGTTCCATACACGCCCTCCGCTGCGCCCCGTCTATCCGGGACAAGCTGCGCGCACTACAGCCATCAGTGGGCTAAGTAGTCCCTGGTACAAGCCCCGTCCAAGCGCTCGCACATACCCGGGAAGAGGCCCTGGGCGATATTGGTCGGTTAAAGTGTAACACATCCGGGTTGCATTTAGTCTTGCCTCGCCGCCATCATTTCCTTCATCACATGCACTTAAGTGGTCACTGCTGCCGAAATGGTCCTAATCGAAACCAGTCCAAGCAAAATAAAACAACAGTCTATGAAGTGTGACTCCGGGACCACGACTACGAGACTACGACTTCGAGGTTTCGACTACGAAACTACGACTACAAGACAACGACTACGAGACTACGACTATGAGACTGCGACTTCGGGACCACGACTACAAGACTACGATTACGCAAGGACCACAAGACTACGAAGTGTGTGTCTCTCACGGAAGCAGCGCGAAAAGTGCGAGCCAGCCATGTTCCGGGGATAAACTTGGGCAGTTGCGAATGGACAAAAAAGTTATCACCGATATCGCCGAAGACATCACCGATATTGACATTTCAATACCGTGAGGGCATTGGAAGGTCAGCATGACGCTCACCACGACACCGAAATACTGATGGATAGTCTTCGCCGTGCAGAGATGGTTTTGAACGACCCCCATACGCTTCACGTGAACTTTGGAGAGTATTTGTTCACTATATCAGCGTGGTGCATTAGTCACGTGCCGTAATATTTTCAGCAAACTATGACCACTGGTAACCGCAGTGCGCCATTATAATGGACGTGCTTAAAATAACGCACTCAAACGATGAGATCACCATTGTAGAGCAGGACGGTGCCATCATTTTTCGAGCACAAAAGGTAAAAAGGCGCGTACTATTCGTCATGAACTGGTAAGTCTAAAAATCTGACCACCGCGAGAGCGTCTGTTAGAGAAAATATACTGAAACTGTTGCGGCTGGCTGGACATTGATGATGAGCCGCGGTCCTCGCGGTCTTCGCAATTAGTGATGAAAGAAACGGCTCTCGTGGCATCCGTGATCGGAACGGAAATACATTATCATCAGGTATTGCAATGCACTGCTTGGGCTGTGGGGTCCGAGTGTGCTTAAGCTGAGAAGTGCAGAGGAAAACATGACATAAATGTGGGGTTTCATCTAGTCAGAAATGCTCCTTTTACAGTCGAGGACAACACACGGCTCGCACGTTCGCTCCTAGGTTCATCAAGTTATCAATGAAAGTCGTATGGCGACAGATATGGACTCGTCAGGAACAAGCCCCTGCCTGCAGTTGACGAGTAGCAGCCAGGATTGTCTCAAGCAAATTATGTCTCAATTTGGCAACACCACGCCCCACAAGACGAGGTCGTCGGACTCGCGGAAGTACAGGACATCAAAGCCATCCCTTGTCTCTCACCGCACTCGTAACCCATGTATGCCTTCACCAGACTTTGAACGTTGGGAAATATGTTCAGGAGCACTCTGCCTGGTAAATGTCATCATTCGCAAGTATCATCGAAATGTCATATTTATCTGTGACAAAAATGTGCTGTCCATGCATGATGCAAGCGCATGTTTCCAGGTAAAAAGATAACGATCTCTAGCGATCCAAGACAAAGATGAAAAAGCATTAAACAACACAGCACGTTTCGAGCACCATCTGGCGGCAAATATTGTCGCAAACACATGCAGCGTTCTTCTGGACTGTTCCTGACGGTACACACCATGCACCTAAAATCACAGCGGACGCCATGTGCTGCTCACCGAAGATCCATAGCTCCAGCTGCCAAACTTCATGAAGCACTTCTGCTGGTCAAAGGGAAAGTATCGAACGTCGATTTCGCAGTAGGACTTGAAGATGGCCGGGGGGTGCCACACCACCCGTCCCTCGCTGTGGATGACCGCCTTGGTCAACGTCGTGATGACGTACTCACCGTCAGCACTGCAACAGGCGAGAACATTATCGGTCAGCAAAACTTCCTGCGTCTGGCCCTCAAGGCCCCTCAAAATGGCCCAGGGCGGTCATATTTTTAGACGCAGATTTAGTAGCTACTCAAGTTGGTCTAATGCCAGTCAATGATGCTTGTCACTAATCAATAACCGGTTGTGCAATAAAGATCAATCATCTCGAAGACCGCTTCGCAGCGTGCGAAAAGCAACATGCGCGAGTCCTGGTTCCTCGTCGCATTGTGTTTTGTGGTTGAGCTTGGTTGGAGCGATCAGATGCTTTTCCAAACAGTGTGACAAAGGAATTCAGGCGCAGAGTGTGAGGCTCAGGGATAATGATGCAGACATGAAACCCTAATTCCGCGCATACTGAACAAATAGCATGCAAACGTTGTCACGTGAATGCATTATATCAGTAAGACTGAAGCTAGGGCAGGTAATTTATTTGCCCTCGCAATGAAATGCAGAAACCGTAACTACACATTCTTAGCGAACACTTTTAGGAAATGTTCCTTGTCCTTGCGCATCCAGCAATGTGCTAGACCTCATTACTCATGTCGCTGATTTTGACTTTATGCTAGTTTTTGCCACTCCGTATGGGAATGCTGTTAGTAAAAGGTATGTGCTATAAAACGACGAATGTGATAGAAGACTTCAGACGCCGAGGAATCATTAATTGTCAGTTGGGAACATGTATCGATGTGCTTGATCAATGTATCTAGTTATTATTTGTTGCCACGCTATATATATATATATATATATATATATATATATATATATATATACATATATATATATATAGAATGTATACATGACATACATATATATATATATCGTATAATTACATACTATTTATAACTACGCCTATTTACTTATTAATTAGTCGTTGCGGGGTTTTGCAGGCAGACAGTTTCTGGTGTAGCGGTTCCTGTGCAGATGAACATGCTTGAAAATTGCCTGTGTTGGTCTCATCAGGACCGGCATTTGTAGTCGGCGACGTCGATGAAATGGTATTTATCTGCAGTTTTTTAGGGGCGATTACCAAGGTAGAGCTAAAAGGGCAAATGGGCAAATATGAATCTAACCGAAGAGGACGACCCGAGGCTTAGGCCAAAGCGTGTGACTCAAGCCGATAATTTTGTAGCAATGACCGTTGCGGTACTGTCCACTTCGCGGTCGATGACTGCCGTAGTGCTTGGTCGGATATTGTCCGGATCACGTACTGATCCGCCTACAATCCAGCTGTCCACACAGTGCAGCCTGCTTCACGCCTGCGTCGGCTCCGATTGCCAGCTGCCATTCATCCACAACACCGCCGGGAGCGAGTGGATCCGTGGTTCACATGAGCTCACGTGAACGTCTGCACACTCGGGCACATGGTGGCGCTTGATTATTAGGGCACGAGGGCACTGAAGGCCCAGGCCACTACTGAGGCGACTCCTGCCGGTGCGGTGATCTTTTCACCTGGCCCCGCCAAACGGCGCTCGCTCCGTGCCGCTGCGGCGTTGGGTCGTCAAGATCTGAGCTTCATTTCGGCCCGCATGTGCAGCTTTTCGCAGTTGCATTACTCTGTCCTCGCGTACCTTGTCAGCTGGCGGGTATAACTGCCTGTCATCCATATCGCAATGTTACCGGAATACCCCGTCGGACCGCAAAGTTTGTATGAAAATATCAAAGAGAGAGAGAGAGAGAGAGAGAGAGAGAGAGAGAGAGAGAGAGAGAGAGAGAGAGAGAGAGAGAGAGAGAGAGAGAGAGAGAGAGAGAGAGAGAGAGAGAGAGGAGAGAGATGTGTAAATATATATATATATATATATATATATATATATATATATATATCTTACTACATATCTACACATTATATCTCTATATCTATATATACATATCTTCTACATTATCACAGCTTGATTCACAGCAGGACCTGCTCCTCTGGTTACCTGAAATCTGTGAATTTGCGATCAGCAGCTGCAGAGACATTTCATTCTGGAGAGCGTTGATGTAAGTGAGCCCCGACGGCTTAAGTCGAAAGTTGCATCATTGTTCGAGCATGGCTTACTGCCCACTAGCGATCTAGGCAAGATGGCACGCGTAACGACAGAACAATTTTAAATTTGCGTGCTTGATCACAATATGGGGCTGGCGGCGCGCAGACAGCGTGCAATCCATGCAAAAAAGCAGTCCAGCACATTCACTTAGAATTGTGATTCTCTTTAACCCATGCCATTGAGCTTGGTTACGCCGCATTGGAAATTTTTTTATAAATCGCATGTTTTGTATTAAGTTGCTCAGATTCTCGCACCATGAGAAGTTCTTGTTTCGAGCCCTTCCTCCTTTCGGTTAAGAATTCCACCAGTCAGCAGCCATCAATTGTCTCCAGTGACCACAACATTGCGGCGCATCGTCGATCCATGAGTGAATCCTAAAAATAATGCTTCCTCTCAGTTCGCTATGCAGCTGTACATGACCGCATCAAGATTAGTTGATTGCGATTCGGTCTGCGAAGCCAGTTTTATCACAGAGGATTTTTCAGCTTAGATGTTTAGCTTGGTTTTATCTATCTGCGGGGGAAAATAAGCTGTGCGGTGAAGTTTGTGACCGCAGAGTTCTTATCGTAGTCATTTGATAGCCTACCCCGCTAAGAATGTAAGATCAAGAACGTTCCAATTCAGCGGAAAGGCAGCGGCTCAGACTCCCACGCATTTACTAAACACTCGCGGGCCTCAATGGCACCAAAGCCTTGCCTGCAGACGCGATGAATTCGCTGAATCTTCGAGCTGGGCCGGCAGTCAGATTGATCGCCGCCATACGTGAAGTCAAATAGCTGATGTTTAGGCGTTTTATGAGCGCATCCGGTACTAAGGCTATTTTGCGCTCGATTACACTACTTGCTGGTGAAGATGAACAGCGCTATTTACGGGTGGAACACTCCAGTTGTGAGCTGAAGCGATGTCTGTATTACAGAGAGGCGTATTGGCAGGAACAAAAGGTGAATATCGCCTCATTAGCTTTGATATCATGATAATGCTAATGATAATCACATGCCATCCTGCATGGAGAGCCATGCCCATCAATACTCCGATGGAGGATGTATTCATAACTTCCGGTCGACAGGTTCGAAGATCCTAGTTACTCTGCAAGGTCTGTCTGCGAAAAGGAAAGGAATCTTCTAGAATTTTTGGGTCGAGCTTGATGAATGACAGCTTTGTTTGACGTTATGCAACTGCTTTAAGAATGGAGGGCTGAAATTGCAGTGCGTTTCGAAACCAGCTTTAAGGACGCAGTGTAGAGACAATTAAATATCCACAACAGCAAAGCCAGTAAAATGCAAGCTGTTCATTGGGCTGAGGCACAAAGGGGGGAAGTTGCTTTGAAACATGTACCAATTTAAGCAATGCATCATAAAATTGCCTTTTTTGTACTTGTAACGCGGTTTACAACCCACTCAGATTGCTTTAACTCAAATTGCTGGTGCATGCAGTGCACCATCATGCATCATGCAGTAGCCATCATGCATCATGCGTGTACTTACTTATTATATAACACTATGTCTGGCAGCCATATGTGTTCCGCTGGCACGTACAACTCCGTCACACCCCCCGTATTCAAACGGGTCCCATATAAACCTGTAGTCCAGCCACTCCTGAAACCAGAGGCAAATGTTTTTTTGCAGGACATTTCTTGTTATGTGCCAAACTGCTCGTTTATATACAGGCTGACAATGAGGCAGGCAAATCGCGAGAAAAGTTCCGATGTTTCTATATTAGGTCTGTGTTGATAATATATTTGACTGCATCGCTGTCTTGCGGCACGTCGAATCGGTTGTCATGTCATACAGCTCAACATTAACTGATTGCATGCACATGTCGGCCATCTTCGGAACGATCTTGGCGCTCTTGCACCCAATGAATCCACTCCTGTTATCGATATTGTACACATATGTCTTATGTGTGTTACGTGTATTTATGTGTGTTTTGCATGTAATTGTTACATGTGTGTTATATTTAGTTGTACGTGTGTATGCTATCTGTGTTGCGTATATACACTTTTCACGTCTAACTATGCAATCTATTTCACTGACGCTACCAGCGTACGAAAATGGAGACGACTAAGCCTCCCATGAAGCCGAGGTTGGCCGCACCCTGATTTTCAAACTCGAGGAATATGTGTAAAAATAAGGGGTTAGAAGAGCCACCAAATTTGCATCATTATTTGTAAGGTTAAGAAGCTGGGGCAGGCGTACCTAAACGGACAAGTGCAGCCTGATAGGAATAAGGTTAAAGCGCAACATAGAGTAAAAGACCACACGCCAAGCATTGGATACATGCCGATGTGATGACGTCTTAAGGTACTACATGTATCAAATTTATAGAAGTTATCATCCCAGTAGCGCCGCCAAGCCGGTTTCCTTCCACAGTGTTCGTTAAATGCGGCAAGTTTGGGGCAAACTGTCCTTTGTCCTAGGTTCGATTTTCATCATAGCTTTTAATTTCCATCGCAAGGTCGGAAAAGAATTGTCACTTTTGGGTGTGGTTTGGGTTGGATGTCACGATGTCTCAGGATTTCAGATGTTTGATGGCGTTATGAATACGCCAGGTGCTATTTGGCTGCCCATCTGTGGATAAGATTGGTGTTCCATAGTTCGAAGCAGCGCCCTCGCGGGGTGAGTGGCATTCGAGCCACCGATTTATACGATTTAATGAAAGCAAATGATTCTATGCTGATTATTACATGGTGAAAGCAAATAATGATTTATACAGCAGGCTGGTATTAGGATACTACGATCTAGAATTATCTGCTATATGCATGGCAGGGGATGTTTTATTCGCCAATACGGGTATGGATAAGCAAATATGATCTCATAAAAATTACAAAAGGAGAAACGACTTCGAGATGGCAGTGCTACTGCGATCCGCTCTGCCTACCTCGGTGCACCGAACTGGCCCTGGCCTACGATGCCGACTTGAGCGTCCCAGTGCCAGTGCGTAACATGCACAACACAGCTAATTCACTCTGGTCCTGATGATGAAGCCGGTCCGCAGTATGGCCACTGATACCAAGCAGTTCATTTCAAACGTGGTAAAAGATGCATTAAAATCGCACTAAAACACCAGACAACACGTTAACCTTCCAAGTTTTGGTAAGATATTCCAGATGCAAGTAAGACCAATCATGTCGAAACTAGACGTCGAACGTCGAGTGGCGGCGTTACCAGATTTCCTTTGACACATAATCACCTATTGAAAGCTTATCACCCCGCCCACATGAGTCGTCGTTAGCGCCTATTCATTAGACCCGTCGTCATCAGCGCCGCGTGTCTCCGACACGCGCGGCACGTGCCTCGGCCGGTCACGCGACCGTCGGTCCGTGTCCTGAGACGGCGGCGCCTCACTCTGCCCGGCGACGATCCGTGTCCTGAGACGGCGGCGCCTCATTCTGCCCGGTGTCGGTCCGTGTCCTGAGACGGCGGCGCCTCATTCTGCCCGGTGTCGGTCCGTGTCCTGAGATGGCGGCGCTTCACTCTGCCCGGAGTCGGTCTGTGTCCTGAGACGGCGGCGCCTCATTCTGCCTGGCGACGATCCGTGCCCTGAGACTGCGGCGCCTCACTCTGTCCGGCGTCGGTCCGTGTCCTGAGACGGCGGCGCCTCATTCTGCCCGGCGTCGGTCCGTGTACTGAGACGGCGGCGCCTCATTCTGCCCGGCGTCGGTCCGTGCCCTGAGATGGAGGCGCCTCACTCTGCCCGGCGTCGGTCCATGTCCTGAGACGGCGGCGCCTCACTGTGCCCGGCGTCGGTCCGTGCCTGAGACGGCGGCGCCTCACTTTGCCCGGCGTCGGTCCGTGCCCTGAGACGGCGGCGCCTCACTTTGCCCGGCGTCGGTCCGTGCCCTGAGACGGCGGCGCCTCACTTTGCCCGGCGTCGGTCCGTGCCCTGAGACGGCGGCGCCTCACTTTGCCCGGCGTCGGTCCGTGCCCTGAGACGGCGGCGCCTCACTTTGCCCGGCGTCGGTCCGTGCCCTGAGACGGCGGCGGCCTCACTTTGCCCGGCGTCGGTCCGTATCTCAGACGGCGGCGCCTCAGCCTGCCCGGCGTGGCGACGGCTGCCGGACGGAGAGCTGCCGGAGAGTCAGCGCTGGCCGGCAGGTAACGAGGCGCCACCCTGGTCCACGGACGGCTGGGAAAATGCCTGGATCGCGCTTCGATGGCCGGTCGTCCTGAACAGAGCGCAGCGGGTGCCGCTGCTCCTCAGACTGGTCTGCCGTCTCAGCAGCGTCCGGGCGTCTCCCGCCGGCGCTGGCTCGTGTCAACGGACGTCGGCGATCACAGCCCTGGTCCGGCGAGACTATCAAGAGCCGGAGGAGCGTCGCAGCCGACGCAAATATAGCCCGGACATGATCATGCTCTGAATATTCATCTAGTATGCTGCTCTGTAAGCAAACCTTTTATGCGCATGCCGTGAGACAACGAGATGTGAAGAAAGCTGCAGCAGTCCCCACTGGACGGGGCTGTTTGCTCATAGCTCAGTATATAATAACATCTGGGCTATGCGTAAGCTGCATAATGTTTTGCGGTTAGGTTGTAAACACGTCTGCCTTTTAGAAGACCAAGTGATTGTAGCTGTGCGAAGACGCTCTCTTCTATGATTTATAGTGACGACAAAGGGGGGAACTATTGGTGGAATTTTGTGTCCCCCCAGATAGGCCTTGTCACCCTCCTCACTATCATAGTCTGTCTTCTCCGCATATCAGGCTCAAGTCACTTCAAAATTGCTTAGGAGAAAAGCTGATAACGAAATGAAGAGCATGTGACCTCAGGCTATCATACTGGAATGCGTTTCCGGTGTTCGATGCATGCAGCTCATCCGTCTTCTCCAGCACCACTGAAATAACGCTTTCCGACCAGAGTCTACTCGGCAAAGACGCCTCATTCTACCAGTTTGCCTCAACGGATCCTAAACCTCAGTACTTGTTCTTCAAGAGTTTTCACTGGAGCAAAGTTTGAACCATTGCCACGGGTCGTTAAATAGACGAATCGGAACTTTGAAACACAGCATTTGGAGGGACGCGTCCACTCCGCTGGCGGGTCCAGCTCTTGGGTGGTGGAGCGTCGTCCGCCTGATTTGCCAGTCCGGTCCGGTCCGGTCCGGTCCCGTTACGGTGCGGTACGGTACGGTACGGTACGGTACGGTACGGTACGGTGCGGTGCGGTGCGATGCGGTGCGGTGCGGTGCGGTGCGGTGCGGTGCGGTACGGTACAGTACGGTACGGTACGGTACGGTACAGCACTGCACGGTACGGTACGCTACGGTATTGTGCGGTGCGGTACGATGCTGTCTGGTGCGGTGCGGTGAGGTATGGTACGGTGCGACACGTGGCCTGGTTTGGCCCTGTCTGGAGGGCCAGACGACATTCACCCAAATGTTTCCAGCGTTTATGACTTGCGGTTATGTGACGTTCATGTTTTCTGGATTGATGGTAGAAGACAATTCACGCCCAAAAGCGCGCCGTTTAGCTGGTCCATTTTTCGTGAATGCAGCGCTCACATCGCTTTCTTTGCCGCACAGTTGAGCTTTGTGCCTTTCGCTTCTAGAATTGCCTGTCAGATTTACTGCTTCTATCAGTGAAAGTTGTTCCGACCCGACAAATGAGGACGGGAAAATGTGGCCGGGTGTTCCATCGCACGCGGGGATACTGTCAGCCGGAAGTGTTTCACGACAAATTATGTCCAACATGCTGGCGGAGTGGAAATGTCACCAGGCCCATCGTTGTCTCGGGAGAGCGTCCACAAGGCTTGCGCCCACTTATCCCCAAGCCCGCTGCGAGACAATGAAATATGGCATGCGACGGTCGACAACACAGCCCACTGTGAAGTCTCACAAATGGGCCGCCGAAATGAGCAGCTCAATCCGAGATGCGACAGACCGCAGCACGACAAAGAAACCGTCCGTTGCGGGATCCGGCAGACTTACAGACTGTCAGACCACTCACCGTGGCGCCCAGCAGGCTAACGGCAAGCCGCTCACAGCAGGACGCGACACAGTAGGACGTGACAGACAAACGACACAGTGAAACCGTTCACTGTGAGACCCGACAGACCAACGGAACAGCAAAACCCTTCACTACAAGACCCGACAGACCAACGGCGCAGTGAAACCCTTCATTGCACGACCTGACAGACCAACGGCACAGTGAATATTTACCGCGAGACCCGACAGACCAGCAGCACAGTGAAAGCGTTTACTGCAAGACCCGACAGACGGACGACATAGTAAAACCTTTCACTGCGAGACGCGACAGACCAACGGCACAGTAAAACCGTTCACTGCAAGACCTGACAGACCAACGGCACAGTGAAACTATTTACCGCGGGAGCCGATCGACTATCGGCCCCGCGAGTACTCACATAGGTATGCAGCAGACTAGCGATAAACCGGCACCGCTTACATGCGATGCTCCAACGGCAGCGCGAGACCACGTGCTGTGTGATCCCACAGGCCAACGTTACTTGTGGGATCACTCACTTAGGAATCTGACAAACTGACGGCGCCGGTGTACAGCCATGGAGGAAAGACGGCTAAGTATACTTATTCTGCTAGTCACACACCTCAGCTTTTATGCAAGTCATCAGGCTGATAAAATAAGTTGTGTGGTACAAATCATAGAGTGGAGGTTCCAAACGTTGCATCGTTCGCAATATATATATATATATATATATATATATATATATATATATGCATATATGTCATGTTTACGAGCGGCGCCACATTATATTATCATGTTCAGTAGCGGCACCACGGACTTTGGGTCGGGGAGTTTTTTCCAATGGGCTTGCTGGACGGAGTGGGTCCGCGTCACATGGGGCCTCCTGGGTGGTGTCATATTCAAGGGGCGGGGATGGAGGACATGGATCACGTGGTCCTTTACCAAATTATCACAGTGACAATATTCATGTAGGCCATTAAAAATCCAGCATTGGGTTCTTTTGACTAACATGGGTTTCCGATCCTGCAAAGGGCCTCCCAATTCCAAAACGGGGTCTGCTGTTCCCGAAAAAGTCACGTGAAGCGCCCGATAATTGTGTCTCCTAATCTAGAACAGGATCCTGACAATTCACGAATGTGCATTTAAATCCATCTGAGGCATGACAGGGGTCTCCCTTTCCAGAAACGGAGATCCCTTCTTCTTGTTCATGCTTCATGTTCCAGAAAAGGTGTCTTCTAGCTCATAACGGGGCTGACATGACTGGTGTGAAATAACATGGACATAACGTATGAGCTATTCCGAACCGGCAAAAAAACTTTAGCGCCCTCTGGCTCAGTTATTGGGGTCTCCTTGACCTCAATTTTTGTAACTGTATTTGGCGTTACGGAGCTTTTACTTTGGATAAACGGGGCCTCCCAAAATTTTCAGGAAGCGAAAACATACTTTGTCCCTCACCCCTGCCTGGTGGCAGGGAATTTGCCCCTCTGCCCCCCCCCCCCCTCCCGCCCCCCTCTCCCCACTACAGCCCCTGGTCTCACACCCGTCTGAGTGCCGTCTGAGATCAGCCCCTGATCTCACAAGGGCACAAGGCCACAACCACATATCACAATTTATTCAAAACGTTCCTTCACAGCGTTTCTCAACGCGATGCTGCCGCTATATCGCGCTAATTAATCATGAATGTCGGAGCTGTGCAGAGAATGTGCGAAGTTCTAGCCACTGAATTTGGAATGATGGTGGTAATGGCAGTGGTATCCTAAATGACTGATGAGAGTTTCGGGCTTTGCGACCTGGTAATGTGAAAGCCTAAGTTGGAACAGGCATCTGATGAAAACGGGAGGTCAGCGCCGTAATAGACAGTCATGTTCAGGATTGCACTAAAGTTGCAACGATAAAGGCCTATTTTTCCTGTTCGCGCTAAGAAGGCTTTGATGACATTGCGCTGGCCGAAACTGCATCGTGGGATACTGGGGCAGGTGTGACTATGTGACAGGTGATGATGAGAGAGAGAGAGAGAGAGAGAGAGAGAGAGAGAGAGAGAGAGAGAGAGAGAGAGAGAGAGAGAGAGAGAGGAAAGAGAGGAGAGAGAGAGGAGAGAGAGAGAGAGAGAAGAGAGAGAGAGAGAGAAAGAGAGAGAGAGGAGAGAGAGAGAGAGAGAGAGAGAGAGAGAGAGAGAGAGAGAGAGAGAGAGAAGAGAGAGAGAGAGAGAGAGAGAGAGAGAGAGAGAGAGAGAGAGAGAGAGAGAGAGAGAGAGAGAGAGAGAGAGAGAGAGAGAGAGAGAGATAGAGAGAGAGAGAGAGAGAGAGAGAGAGAGAGAGAGAGAGAGAGTAAGAGGGAGGAAGGGAAGGAGGGAGGGGCGGTTTGTCATGGGGACTTAACTTGAATTATTATTTTGCGTGGGCCCCTCACATTCGAATCACTTCGTCTTTGACATGAATTTACCCCATTCAGTGCCTCATATGAATTCACTATGTTAACCGTATAAACAAATAATCAGAGGCTCAGGGTTTTACAGAAAGTGACGAAGGACACCGCACTTGTACCTATAGAACCCAACAGTAAAAATCCATTTTGTTTACGGTGATATTGTGGTTAAGCTGCGTGGCTGGGAAACCAAAGTCGCGGGGGTCGATTTTCCACGGCGCTCGCCCGTCCTGCGCAGGGCGAAAGACAGGCGACACAATCAAGTCCTAGGAACAAAGTGCGTCGTTAAATCCCATTGCCAGCATGCAAAAATATAACGTTAGTTTGTTTTTGTCCACCCATATTTCCTGGGCATTTTTTTTACGTTCTGTGAACTCAGAGTACGCCTGCCTGTTTGTCTGAGTAAGGTCTGAGTCTAAGTAGGATTATTTCTTTCAACATAGCACACCATGCTGCTCATATCTGTGCTGCGGCTTATCCTTGCGTGCTAAACGCCTTTCGACCATCTGATGTTGAATATTCTGCTAGCAGCTTAAGCGAGCTTGCATAGATATCAGATTCATTGGTCGGTCGTTGTCACAGGGACCTTGTGTAACACTCGAGTGGTGAGTCCATATGGCTTAGCCTGCATCTCACTCAGGCAGCTGACGCTTGCAAAGCGGTAAACTGAACCTCGTGTCTCTGTTTTCCCAGTCACGCAGCATAGCCACTTTACTAACGGTGCCACAATCCTTTGGTCGGCTCAGGTTGGATGCGTTGTTTCGAAGCCATTTCAGTGCGAGTAACGCTTACACTGGTCAGCCCCGCTGGCTGTGCCGTCAGTCCCGCTGGCCTGATCAGCCCCACTGGCCTGGTCCGCCACGCTGGCTTTGCCGCCAGTCCCGCTGGCCCGGTCAGCCCCGCTGGCCTGGCAGAGGTGTGAGGCCGTGACCGCTGGTCTGGCAGAGGTGTGAGGCCGTGACCGCTGGCCTGGCAGAGGTGATAGACTGTGACCGCTGGCCTGGCAGAAGTGTGAGGCCGTGACCGCCAGCCTGGCAGAGGTGTGAGGCTGTGACCGCTGGCCTGGCAGAGGTGTGAGGCCGTGACCGCTGGCCTGGCAGAGGTGTGAGGCCGTGACCGCTGGCCTGGCAGAGGTGTGAGGCTGTGACCGCTGGCCTGGCAGAGGTGTGAGGCCGTGACCGCTGGGCCTGGCAGAGGTGTGAGGCTGTGACCGCTGGTCTGGCAGAGGTGTGAGGCCCGTGACCGCTGGTCTGGCAGAGGTGTGAGGCCGTGACCGCTGGTCTGGCAGAGGTGTGAGGCCGTGACCGCTGGTCTGGCAGAGGTGTGAGGCCGTGACCGCTGGTCTGGCAGAGGTGTGAGGGCCGTGACCGCTTGCCTGGCAGAGGTGTGAGGCCGTGACCGCTGGTCTGGCAGAGGTGTGAGGCCGTGACCGCTTGCCCTGGCAGAGGTGTGAGGCTGTGACCGCTGGCCTGGCAGAGGTGTGAGGCCGTGACCGCTGGTCTGGCAGAGGTGTGAGGCCGTGACCGCTTGCCTGGCAGAGGTGTGAGGCCGTGACCGCTGGGCCTGGCAGAGGTGTGAGGCCGTGACCGCTGGCCTGGCAGAGGTGTGAGGCTGTGACCGCTGGTCTGGCAGAGGTGTGAGGCTGTGACCGCTGGTCTGGCAGAGGTGTGAGGCCGTGACCGCTGGCCTGGCAGAGGTGTGAGGCCGTGACCGCTGGCCTGGCAGAGATGTGAGGCCGTGACCGCTGGTCTGGCAGAGGTGTGAGGCCGTGACCGCTGGTCTGGCAGAGGTGTGAGGCTGTGACCGCTGGTCTGGCAGAGGTGTGAGGCCGTGACCGCTGGCCTGGCAGAGGTGTGAGGCCGTGACCGCTGGCCTGGCAGAGATGTGAGGCCGTGACCGCTGGCCTGGCAGAGGTGTGAGGCCGTGACCGCTGGCCTGGCAGAGGTGTGAGGCTGTGTGACCGCTGGCCTGGCAGAGGTGTGAGGCTGTGACCGCTGGTCTGGCAGAGGTGTGAGGCCGTGACCGCTGGTCTGGCAGAGGTGTGAGGCTGTGACCGCTGGCCTGGCAGAGATGTGAGGCCGTGACCGCTGGTCTGGCAGACATGTGGGGCTGTGACTCAGAGCCCGTCGTCTGTCAGTCGTCTGCTGCAGTGCCGCCGTGTGAGGACGGTGCGGCAGTCCGCAGATCAATGCTGCTCTCTGCCGCCGGCCCGCGGAGCGCCGTGCCGGCGCCCGCGTGCCACTCCCATGGGTCACTCTTATGGGCTCAACGGTTGGTGGTGACGTCACATGAGCCGCGCGGCAGGCGTCAGGCTGACGTCACAGCCAGTGACCAAATTGACGTCACTGGCACGCAGCCAGAACAAGTCAAGCACGCGGTAGATCTAAGCACTAATCCAAGTATGAGGCGCTTTGATTGGTCGATTTTAATTTGCAATATGAAATCTAAAATCGGCTGTCGGCAAGTGTTATTCCGTCCGTGATTCGTCTTCAGGTCACGTCGTGCCCCTTGCACTGATTTCGCTCCCGTACTTACATGCTCCACCCACACGTTTGTCGTCAGAATCTGGTCCTTCAGATTCTGAAACAAAAGACACATTTTAGTACATCAGTCTGATCGAAATGCGCATTGAACACATGCATGTCCTAAATGACGCGAACGCTGTTCTAGGTAGTCCCAAATTATGGTTTGAATTGCAGTGATTTCTTGAGCAACTGAGAACTTGAAACCTGTTCGCATCTGGCCTGTAAGATTTGAATTATTACCAGGGCAATTTATTATGCAATAATTTTGTTATCATGCATCTATATGCCACGGGAAAAAATCAGAAAAGCTTTCGTCTGCTGACCCTTATGACATATTATCGGACTGTGTGTGCAGCAGATGCCGTCGTGAATTGTACTAGAAGTGGCAAAGGGTCTTGGCACGATCGTACCGTCATTCATTCGACGCCTGCAAAAACATGTGAAGTTCACTGCAATACCAGGTCAAATCTGAAAACTAGTGTCGTATTTTACCGGATAATCCTGTAGTTTTGGCTTAAAATGGCTGACATGCCAGTCCGGCTTAAGGATTCTTAACGGTTAAAAGAGCATGATGGTCCAGGCCATGCTAGGCTAAGCCTTGCTAATAGGTCCCGACGCTGGCAAAGGTGCCGAAGCTGCGCTGTAGCTGCTTTGAGCTAATTCCGCTGTGCCAAGCAAATGAAACATGCTGTTAGTCATTTCGTAAGCTTTAACAAAGGCATGAATGAACAGATTTTAAAACATTGCTATTACCCAAAGGAAGTGTTATTTCTGTTTAGTTTTTTATGCGCGGCTATCACAGCACTCGCCCTGCGTAGCAGGTGCTGTAATCTATACCATTATTCATTCACTGGAGGTGTTAAACGATTTTTACGTGGCGAATTTTTTACGCATCCCCTCCCCCTCCCCCCACGCGCGGGCCGAATGCCCACCTCTTAGCATCTAGGGAGCTTTAAAACCTGTGCTTGGACGCGATGACGAACGAAAACTTGCAGTCTTACCTTACCTATTTATTTGGACAAAAAGAACACAATAGCACGTTGGTTGCGCGCACAGGAAGTGAGGTAAATATAAATCAATTGTTACAGACCAGTAAATCCTCAAGATATCCTGCAATGTGTTATATGACGGTACCACACCTGTGATGAACCGAAAAACACAAATGTAAACGGTTTCTGTTAAATCAGCAGTGTTAGATGCGGAATCTTGAAAATCAGCGCAAATAAAACATTAGCTGCTTCACAGCGTACAAGTGCGAGCACTACTGGCTGCTGCCTCAACCCATTGTGATGTTTTTATCCTATAAATCCGTCCCTGTCAGTACCCCAAATCAGTGCCGACACAGGACATACAAAGCTGGCAGGGTAAATGTGTGAGATGTACAGTGCTGGCGCTCATTCAAAAGGCGACTGTTATTCTTTCTCACATGTCCGTTCTTGGCACCGCCCTTAGCCCTGAAACTTGGCGCAGCTGCCCCTAAGACATTGGAACACACCTGGAGAGGGGTGACAAACCGCTATGATGCCAGTGTGCAGCCTGCTCCACTTTTTTTGCAGCCCAGGTGGATCTTGGAGACGTGGGCCTTCCACATCTTTTCCTGGAACCTTTCCTGTCGCCTACTATATCCACTTCCGCATTGCATGTGCCTTTGGGATCGGACGCATGGCCGGAAAGTGTTGAACAGCTAGTGTACGGTTCAAGACGTCTTGAATCCGAAGCTGAAACCAACGTCGATTCCCTCACGTTATCACGTCCTTTACTTTTCGTGAAAATACGTATATATTTAATCGCTCGAACAAAAATATCGAGCAATCCCTTGTTAACTCGAACAAATTGATAGATTAGGAGGTATCTGACGGAAAAAAATTGATTTGGGCTATACATCAAGCTATTTTCTGTTGTATGATCTTCTCCCTAAATGCATGCACTTGAAAGACCGTGCTTTGTCCGGATGCTCCTCCCACAAAGTGCACCTGGAGCCTTCCTTGGCCAATGAAAGACGCTGCTGTGTTGGAATGTGACAAATGGATAGTCGCGCGGTCACACAATTTTAGCGCCTTGTTAATACGCTTTGGTGATGAAATAAGAAAGTTGCAGGGGCCGGATTGGTTCCCCACGCACGGCAGGGCTAGCGGGTTTTCCGTAATCAACGCACCAATTTTTTTCGTAATTTTTATTTCCGTTGATTTCCGTAATCAACGTGATATTTCGCTCACATAAAAAGTGATGGTCACCTTTCCATTATGCACCTCCACTTAATCTCAGGCTGTTGACTCTGCTGTTCACTGCAAGGTCGTTGACCTCGCTGCCCACTGCTGATGTCACAACTGGCCAGATAAAATAAGGATGAGATGTGCTATAGCCCTCTCGAGAGGCATCCTATTACTGCGTTTATTGTAGAAAGCCTTCCGCGATACACGACCACTTGGACTGTCACTACTTCTTACGTCATGAATGGGAGAGCCATTATCACTTGGCACGCCTCTAGGACCATGTGACAGTTATCGCAGTGTTAGAGAAAGATCTTCCTTGCAAGTTGTTATGAACTGTATCCTTAACATGGACCTCAGTGATGTAATAGAGTACACCGACGGGGAATTTAGGAAGTATGATTTATTTTGCAAGTAAGCAGTTGGTCTTGCAACCTTTATTTCTTTGGCGACTGTTAATTAACTGGAAGATGCAGAAATATGCGTCGGCTCTCATTGAAGTGAAACCTATCCAAGCTATCATGTGAGTCTGCTTTGAGTACACTGCGCGGTGCCGACCTGCCTGCACACGCAGCTGCTTTGAGTCTACTGTGCGGTGCCGACCTGCCTGCACACACAGCTGCTTTGAGTCTCCTGCGCGGTGCCGACCTGCCTGCACACGCAGTTGTTTTCCTACATCTCTTCCCGCACTGTCTGCGTGTTTGTGCGCCCGACATATTCCCTGGACGGATGGGCCAAAGAATGAATGAACAGGACGAGTGAGCGAAAGCATGAATAAACAGCCGAGCGATCAAAGAGTGAATGAACAGTGCGAGGATTGCTCTCCGTTCTGGTCTCGCGTTTGGAGCTCGCCGACTTCCAATAAGCACTGCCTGGCTGCCAAACCGTCATCTGTTGTCAAGCGGTAATATCTGATTGACGTCATCGACAGCTCAGGCGCATAGTGGGACAGGTGGAGACGCGGCGAGCCACCCGCCTCATTGGTCAGGAAGACCACGGGTCCTACTTGCATTGCCTGCACGCAGTGCAACAACATGGCACAATCTGCATGAGGCCGAGTGGTCCGATATATTAGTTTTCGATGCGCATTCCCGCAGTGCTAATGTTCCTGACATTTTCATAGCCTTCGACGGCTATGTGTACACTTTTTTTTAGCCGATTGTCGCACGAACGCCTTCATTTGTGTTTGTACCTTTTGGATCCCTTTGGATCCTCGGGGCCGCCGACAGGGACCCCAATTGTAGGGTCCGCTGGAGGTTGTATCAACGGACTCTCGCCTGCAGAACAAGGCCCTCAAATATCAGTCGGAGGGCCTCTTGCGTCGATGGAACCCTTCTGAGCGATAAGGGCCTCTATGTTGATCACGGAGATCACTAATGCCGAACAGCCAGCTCCGCGTCGGTCTGGGCCTTGGGGGACCCATTTCCCAAGCAGGGACAAGGCCAGAGATTGTCATTGCAGACCTGCATTTATCGGGTCCCCTGCAACAAGAACGGGCTTATGCATTGGTCAGGAGCCCACAGTGCCCACATAACATTATGTGCCGGCAAGTAGCCCTGAATCAGCCCGCATCAGTCAAGGAGTCCACATTTGCTGAGCCAGCGCAGTGACGGGACCCCTAGTGGCAGCCTTCTGCTTTGGTCAGGTTCCTCTGACGATGAAATGAGATGCGAGAGATAACAATACGAGGGGTTGCAATAAGACAGTGGAGGAGCCCTGTGTCAGTCAGCGGCACTGATGCCCAGCAGGGCCCTCCGTCTCGTTTCAGCCAGGGGTCCGATACATCGGGCTGGGATTCTTTGCAAATTAACTGGACTTTCTACGCCGGTAAAGGATCCCTTTGCGTCAGTGAGAGCCCCTTCGATTTGGGGCTAACTGCCCCAATCACAGCGCCTCCCCTTTCAGGGAGCAGTCTGATGTGTCCCTGGCGGCCCCCGGGTCGACCAGACGGGATTAGTTGAAGGGATGAGTTAACAAACATGAGTGGACCATATCAATAGAAATGTGTGACCTCGTTTGGTCTAAGCTGTTGCTCAATCCACGGGTTCCTTATCCTCGAAGAGCCCAAATAATTCTGGTAACGACTCTGAGGCTCATCGGTTTATAAAGGAGCGAATGAACCATTGCGAAATGAAAAGCAACAACAGCGTATTCGACACAGATATTTAAAGTATGTCCTCTTCACTTCGTTTGGCTTCCAAGGTGAAGAATAATTTCATAGTTTGACAGTTTCTGGCTTCTATTGCAGCTACACAACAGGACTCGAATTGGTCCTTTAAGGTAGTAAGGTGGGCGAAATCTAGTGAGTTATAGTGAGAAGGTTTCCACCAGAAGGAGGCCCTTCGTCAATCGATGCCGCTCCTTTCCAGAATGCTTGCTGTGTCCCAGAAAGGGGCTAAATTCTGATATGTCATGCGAAACTGCTCTGGCGGTGGTGCCTGAGGACTTACACTGGACGTCGGATTACGTAGGAATTGCCATAATTGTGATATTGGATTTGTGTCGGGTGTTCGGATGCGATCTTTCACACACGTATTTTAGAGAAACGTCTCTACTACATCAGTTTGCTTTGGTTCAAAAAGTTATTTTTACTCAACTTACTTATCTATGCGTACCAAAGAAGTTTGGGTAAAGCACTCGAAAGACTAACATCTCTCGTTCGGAATCTCTCACGGTCATTGACGGGATTTCGCTCAGGGCTGACCGTGAGCTGCCTCCTTTACACAATCTTCGCAAACGAGATTAACCGTTATTCACTGCATGGTACTGTACTTTCTTATACTGATGATAGGCACTAAGCTTTTGGTCCCTTGGCGAAAGCACGACAGGGACTGCTGAGTTGCTG